CTTGTGTAAATTGACATTAAGTATATCACATTTAATAGTATTTGCTCATTACTGACCAATTGCTGCTCTTGATCTTGAGAATGCTTCCGTTCTTGTATTTTATATTTTTGCAGAAACTTTGGTCTTCCAGTTACATCCAAGAAAAAGAATATGCTGTTCCCAAGAAAGGATGCAGCCAACGTAACAAGATAAGTACCTATTGACATACATTTCTTGTTAATGATGATTATCAAAGATATCCTTACATATATCAAATAGGATAAAGAAATTGCCTCCACAGATATCATATATGTAGCCATACGAGTCTGTGATTAACAGTCCACAATATCTCCATAATTTAGAGGCTTCATATCTTTCAGTGGGTGGTGAAGTGACAGATTGTACAATACTACTGATTGCTTACCTGACTGCAGGGTGAGCTAAAGCTAGCAAGAGCAAGCCACCAATGACCAGTTCTTTTTTAGAAGGAGCTGTAAGCATGATGAATGTAAGCAGAGAGGTAGAAATGAGCTGCTTCCTTAGTGGTACCATCCAGTAGACACTGACACGCCCAATAAGCATGCATGGTAGTGTGGGAGGCTAAAAGAATAGACCTCCTTACCACAAACTACAGATAAAACAGATTGCTATCATACCAAGGAAGAAACTGAATGTCGTGTCAATCATTAACTTGCTTAAATAACAACAACAACAACAACAACAACAATAAATTAATAATAATGATAATGATAAAAACTTCATTTTGCTATAATAAAATGCTAAAGTGATGTGCTCTTGTGTGTCTACTTGTCTCATTCTAACAAGTCATTTCCGATAGTACGGATTCATAAGGAGGAGGCGGAGTTTCCATACGAACTGCAGAGGTTCTTGACCGAATGTTAATTTCAAAAGCAGCTGTTGACTCAGAGCCATGTTCAATAGTTATGGCAGCCACTTTATCACGAGACAAGTGCGAGCAGTCCATTGATAGATCTCGTCCTTCAAGAACTTGTTCAGAACCGTTAATCGTGAGAGCTACCACAACATTATTAGAAGCAATGACTTCATCTTTCTCTCTTGGATTGTCTTTAAAATACTCAGAAGGGACAGAGCTGCCGGAAACGTAAGGAGAGGAGTTACACAAAGGGGAGGAGTGTCTTGTCTTGTATTCAATGCTAATGTCCAGTTTATGATTTAAGGAGCAAGAGGAAGTGCTGCCATCTTGTCTCCTTCTAGTGGGATACCTCTTAGTTCCATCACTACCCACTGGAGGAGGGGAGAAGAGCGCTGATGACTTTGAGTGTGACTTTGTCCCCATTCTTGTGTGATAGTTTGTCTTTTGAACTTTAGATGGAGAAATCTGAGAACTAGCCGTTTGAGGGGAAGTGGCTCTATGACTTCTCTCTCTTCCTCTCTTTCGGTGAGGCCTCATGGTTCTACGTGGCCTTGCTTTAGTTGTTTTTCTTCGCCCATTCTGAGTCTCTCCTTTTCCAGCTGCTGCTACAGTACTTCTCTTAGTCACTGGTGGCTTTGTCTCGCCATCTTTAATTAAAAAATCATAATAAATTATTTATTTATTTTATAAATACTCACCTGAGCCAGACTCCAGTTCTGCCGCCATTCTCTTTCTTCGTAATCTCTTGTCAGTTTCTCTCAGACTGTATTTCTCTTTAGCGGAGGAGGTGGTCCCTTTTTTCTCTGACGATGCTTGTCCTTCATCACTGGCTCCTCCTTTATCAGAGCCAGCAGCAGCTGCATCAGAACTGACCTCTTTCTTTGAATAAGCTCCAGCTTCTCTTCTACAAATAATATCATAACATTAATATGCACAGTACATGTATTTGCATCAGAAAAAAATTATAAAAATGAAAAATCCTCTCCTTTCCAATTTTGGTGAAACTTGGCCAAAGTCCCTGTACTATAGTACATGGACTTTTACCCGATTTTTAAGTGACTTAAAAAATTTGTAAAAATCCAAATTTGATTGAATTTACCTTTCGCAAGTGACACATTCACAGAAGGCATTGTTGTCGCCAAAGAAGTTTTTACCATAAAAACATGTGACCTCATCACCAGGTTCCATGTCTCGTAGAACCTGAATACAAGCAGTGTTCTTACCAGTTGGAACAAACTAGGTGGA